ATTTCTATATAATCTATTTTAGTACTTATCTTATTATTAGTTTTTTAATTTATATAGTATAAGCTGCCTATTTATACTCTTATCTAATATACGTCTTTTCTCTATATATCTAGTACTTTTTTTATATAGTTTTTTCGGCGACTTCTTTATCTTGTACCTATAAGATAAATAGAATAAGTTCTTTTAGTTTTCTATTCTAGTCCTATCCTAACTCTAAATATCTAACGGGGTGGTAATAGTTTATATAACTTATAAATAGTATTAGTTCTTATCTATAAATCTTATCTATCTATATAGCTAGTTTTTGTTTACTAAGTTTTTTATACTGCTTATTATTAGCTATCTATAATACTTATTAGTACTTATATATCCTATCTTTTAAAATAACTTTTTAATATTTGATGATATAATATTCCCTTATATGGTATTCTAATCTGCAGATTTAGTAATATTCTTAGCTTATTTATTATCTAATTATTATAAATATTAGCTTTTTATCTTTTATTATCTCTTAATTTTATTATTATCTGAATTTCTAATCTTCTGCTCTAAAGGGTCCTTTTTTTTTTTTAGATTATTTTATAGAATTAGTTAGCTTCTTCTATAGAGCTGGCCTAGTATTATTTAATAGTAGTTTTTTATATAATAGTAATTATATTATTAGCTTATCCTACTAAATAATTCTTAACCTGCTAATATGGTATTTTGTATTCTTATTTAAGGTATATATATTTTCTATAAATCTAGTATTATTCTTTCTAGATTTATTATATAATAACCTCTTTAGTTATTTAATTCTTAGCTAGTTTTATTTAGATTATAGTAATTTTAACTGGTGCTTTAGTTTAGACATAAGTCTATTTAACATCCACTCTTTATTATTTATAGTTTTTAATAAAGTGTTTTTTTTTCTATAACTAAGACATACTCTACGTGCGTACTAATCTATTTATTTTTTAATATACTTATCTTATTTTTATCTATTAACTTATATATTCTTAATTAATACTTAGTTAATTTCTATTATATTATAGGTTTAATTATCTTTTCTATTTCTTTATAGTATATAGATTATTAGTCTAGTGTTATTTTTTTTTCTTATTTTTTTTAGTACTAATAGTTATTAATTATCACTACTTGTTTAATGATTCTTAGAAGTATACTAGATTATTTTTTTTAGAAAATTTTATTCTTAATCCTATCTTTTAGTCCTGCGTAGTATATTATGACTAGAGATTAATCTATTTAGTTTAGTTAAAATTAGATTTACTTAAATTCTATTATATAATTAGCTATTAATATATATTATTTAAGCCATTAGAGCTTCTAAATTACCTTTATTTCTTTATTAATTTTTTTAAAAACTATAATTATTTCCTTCTTAAAGCTCTTATAGTTTTTAAAAGTTTTTTTAATATTATTATTATAGTTTATAAGTTCTGCTAATCCTAGATTAAAGTCTCCTTTAGCTAGATAATTCTTTATAAGTAGTTTAAACTATTTTATAGCTTTTTCTATTATGTTTATACTAGCTACTAGGATTTAATCTTAGTTAGTTATAAATAAGAACTAATTAAACTAATAGTAAAGATCTATTATAGCTATAAAGATTTTTAGTTTATCTCTATTTCTATTAAACTTTATAGGGAGTTATATCTTGGCTGTTTCTTCTCTACTAGTTTTATTTACTATTATTTATTATTATAAGTTAACTAAAGCGTCGCGTAACTTTATAATAGCTATTTTTTATTCTTAAATAATTTATTATATACTCTTACTTTTTTCTAATGTACTTCCGGTAGTAAATAAAGATCCTACTATAATTTCTTCTTTACTACTACTTTTTTTTAATAAATAAAGTTCCTATTCGTCCTTATAGTGGGTCGTTATAGACTGTAATTAGAAATTTATTTATTAGAATTAATCTAACGTCCTCTCCTATACTCTGAAAGGGTAATTATAATGTTATAAGTTACTTTAATTTAATAGTATATTTTATATTAGTAACTTTACTTTAATTAATTACTTAATAAGCTTTTAGTTCTTTCCGTATCTAGAATAAATAGTCTTAAGTTTAATAGAATAGAGTTTATACTTTATCACGAGGTAGGGAGAGAGTATATAATAGATTTAATAAAATAGTTATTAAACTAATTCACTCAAGTTCAAGTCTCAACTTAGAGAGAAGATCTCGATTTTAGAGTAACTATGAAGAATCATAAATATCCCTGAGCCGTTTCACGTCTCATATTTATAGGAAACCCTTCGTGCGTACATTGTATACCTGCTAGTAGTATGTTGGATACTGCTAGAGAAGATGATGAAGATGAACCTATCATCTTTCTTATCTGCCTTATCTGCCAAGACTCCCTTGGTTACGTGCGCGACTGCTCCCAATCCTGTGGCATGGTTCCGTATTTCTGTCCTCGCTTCTTGGCTCGTATCTTGGCCTGTGCCAGTGCGTCTCGTGCCCGCTTGCAATTCTTCCTTTCCAGCTCGAACATACGTTTCCATTCTAAAGCTTCATTGGCTGTCGTGGCCAATTCCTTCAGCTCTTCAGTTGCAGCTGCCTTACTGTTACCGTCCGTAACATTTATATAGTTCTACTAGGATAGAAGAATATAGTCTTTTCTGTTATTATCTCATATAATGCATATACTACAGCCGCTTGACGTTGCGGTTTTTAGGCCTTTCAAACAGTATTATAAAAAGTATATTAAAATAGAGACTCGACTTAGCAATAATTATTTTAATAAGGTTAAATTTCTATATGTAATTTAAGAGGTGCGTAAGTAAGCTTATAAGTTAGGCACTATCTAATTAGCCTTTAAATAGGCAGGCCTCTGGCCCTATAATCCTAGCGCTGTTCTGTTAAAATTGAAGACTATTAATAGGCCTTAAACATCCCTACCTTAACTATCTCTAAAGACAGTTATCTTACCACTAACGCCCTGTAAAGCATGGCAATTGGACAAATTCACAAGAAAGCACATATACAGTGTTGATCCTGAGATAGGACAATAGGGGATCCTATCTAGCCGCTTCTCTAAGTTTCAGAAGGGTGCTGTTGCTGCAGCGCTTAATGGAGAGAAAGCTAGTGAGAAGCTTATACAGGTTAATGTCGCTACCAACGCCCGTAAGAAGCGTCAAAAAGGCGATCAACGACATATACAGAAGGGTGGCACCATCTACGTGTATGATGCAAGGCTTTGAGTGGCCGAACGTGAGAAGGAAGATGCGAGGAAGAAGGGTAGGGCTGTTGCCAAGGGCAAGTCAACCACCTAAGAACTAGATTGTTGAGATGATCAATTACAAACCGTATCAAACCTGTACATCCTATAATAATTTTGACACTAGAGAACCTTCTCTGATGACTAGATGGACTAATTCTGTGCGTCGTAGGTGCTGCCCGCACCTATTTGATACGGGCCTTGGCATCTTGGGCATTGAGCTTGGGGTGGGCGTTGAGCCCGGGAGCACCCCCGAGCGAAGCGAGGAGGGTGCGTTGCGCGAGTACTTCTATATCCCACATCAAATGCCCCACCACATCCACACCGTTACCCCACATCCAGATACTAAATCCTCATGCTAACATCTCCCTTCTAGTGCAAACAACTATCAAAACGAGTAATCCGAAACGTGGATTGGCGAATGGCTAGCTTCACGCAAAAACCGCGACCAAATCGTGCTCGCCACAAAATTCACTACCTGCTACCCAGACCCGCGCAATCCGCCTCGCCAGAGAATCAACTTTGCGGGCAACCACACTAAATCCCTGCACGTTTCCCTTGAAGCCAGCTTGAAGAAGCTGCAGACGGACTACATTGATCTGCTGTATGTGCACTGGTGGGATTTCACGACTGGTGTGCCGGAGCTGATGCAGAGCTTGAATCATATGGTGGCGAGGGGCAAGGTACTGTACTTGGGGGTCAGTGATACGCCAGCTTGGGTTGTGAGCAAGGCTAATGAATGTGAGTACCTCCTCTCTCTTTCCCAAGTATCTACATACCGTCTTCCCTCCCCGACTAGCTAGTAGCCAGAGCAATGAAGCTAACATGCTCTACCAGACGCCCGCAACCACGGCCTCCGCCCCTTCAGCGTCTACCAAGGCCGCTGGTCCGCCGCTGAGCGCGACTTCGAACGCGAAATCCTACCTATGGCGCGTGACGAGGGCATGGCGCTTGCCCCCTGGGGTTCCCTCGGCGGCGGAAACTTCAAGACCGAAGCACAGCGCCAATCCTCTGAAAAGGGTCGCAACATGTGGCCGCCCTCGGAACGTGATCTCAAGCTCTCATCGAAACTCGAGGAAATCGCCAAACGTAAGAATACTCTCCTTACTAGTGTGGCGATGGCGTATGTCATGCACAAAGCACCCTACGTCTTCCCGATTGTCGGGGGACGGAAAGTGGAGCATTTGAAGGGAAATATCGAGGCGCTGGGTCTGGACTTGACCGATGAGGAGATGGATGAGATTGATAACGAGAGTGGATTTGAGGTTGGATTCCCGATGAACTTTCTGTTTGAATTTGGAGGTGCGAAGTATAATAGCCATATGACAACCTCGAATATCGGACTCTTGCAGTTCTCGGGGAAGATTGATAGTGTGCCACATTTGAGGCCGATTAAGGCTCATGGTTTGTGAAGGAAATAAATGGGGGGTGAGGGAGGAGAACAGTCTGTAGAAGTAGGATTATTATGTAGCAGAGTATAGAGAATTTTGCTTTTTTCCAAGAAATTTGATTTGACGTTTGAGTTTTTGGGCGATCATGTTCATGATCTGATTGATGATCAAGTAATTTTGGTTTTTCTCGATACATGTTGCGAGCGTAAAATTAGACAATGAAGAGAGGGGGTGCGCACATTGCAAAATCACGGTTTCAGCCGCCCACATTTTCCACCTCCACTGAAACAACGTATACAATAATAATATCACACTTCCTCCCCACTCAACGACACTCAAATAGTTTTAAAAAGAAAATAAAAAATATAAAAAATCTATCAGGTCGTGCCCGGGATCGAACCGGGGTTGCCGGAATATTAAGTTCAATCAAAATCCGGAGTGATCACCACTACACTACACAACCTGTGGGAAAATTTTTGTTACACAAAATATATAGCTGAGAAGTTTCATTAAGACTAGATTAAAGGGAGGGAGGGAAGATGAGTGATTGCCAGGTGGAGAGATGAGACATTGGATGATTTTAATGGTCGCGACTCATTGGATAGGGCGTGTGGGGCAGTCCGCGAGGGGTTCGGGGCGGAACTAAAGGGGTGGTAATTGAGAAAGGATGGTTACGATACACATTATTGTGAGGGGGAAAAGGATGGGAATTTTTTTTTAAAAAAAAATTCCATGTTTGCTAATGCTTCTAGTTAAGAAGAAAAAGTTCGATTATCCAACCGATGGTGAGAAGCCCTGCCTATATGAATACTGGATCTGCTTGTTATCAGCCACCATAGCTAAATATGAGTAGTGAAACTATCTGTAGGTGCAAACAACTTAGTTGACAAGTTCTGTCAAGCTAGATCGATGATGTGATACTCGCACAGCTGCTAAAAAAAAAGCATCATCTCATATCTCCCGATGTGTATGTAGCGATTCTGTAACCGAGCAACGCCACTGATTCCCCTTTTTTGTCGACCCCACTGTCGATCGTTACAATGCTTACAAATCCTCCTTCTAGTACATTCCACTCATTATTTATATATAGGATAGCTCTACTCAGTTGTCAATCAATAGAGTTCTCTCCATCTTCTTGCGTCCCTCGAAGGTTGCTCGGTGACAGATTCCAAGACGTCCATCATCCTTCTCGATGAACCACGATAACCATCTGCGAGAATATCCTAACAGACCGCGTAGCCCAGGTCTAGCAACATCTTTTTTCGATTACGCAGTACAGCTTCTTTCTATTCCCGGTGAGATATAACAAAATCACGTCCTCTCCAGCACTTTTCCCTGGTTCTGCGTAGCACGTAATTATGACTATAGGAAACTTTATAGGACTATATCTAGTCATTTGGATACAAAGATTTTGAATTCATATGGAAATGGCGGGTAGGGTGGAAGTTGAAATTGCCTTTCTATCTCGCAGATAGCTAGAAGTGTGCTGCTATACATATCATCACATCTCCAGTTAAGCGCCCCTTCTCATCCAAACGCCTTTCTCCTCCGCTGGGCACAGAAAAGGCGGTATACTGAAAAGGGTACCTCTGATAATGAACCTGTTAGGAATTTTGAGCCTTGGACTAAGATTCAGTGGGGATTGGGATTCGAATGACCGGGGAGTGGATTGAAATAAAGTTTTGATAATCTTCTATATGTCCTTAAGAACCTGAGGCCAACGACTTGCCGCGCTTAATAACTCCATGGGTTTCCTAAAGAACCTTGAAAGAGATGCGATGGTATCTCGACGGTTCTTCCCGTCAATCTCCATAATAATATACCTAGGAGTTTCCACGCCGCTAAGATTGATAATTCAAGAAAAGCAGAAAAGGAGCTTTTGTGAGAAGAGTAACGTCTGTTCCCCCTTGCCTAATAAAAATGGCAATCCCTAACATGCCTTTCAACTACTCCACTCTTCCATCCCCCCTCCCTCCTATATATACTCTGACAACCTCTCACAAAACACCTACCATGTCTATACGTCGTCCCATGAAAATACTCCTCTTCCTGCCTAAAACAAACCTCATGTTCCTCACACCCAGACGGGAACTCCCACAGATGCAGCTCCAGCTTCTGATGATCAGCAAACCATTTCTTGCATACAGAACATTGCTCGCGATCTTTATTAGCTGAGACTTGGACGGATCTTGTGCCGTTTGGGTGCGAGTTGAATGTCATATGGTTTATTGCATAGTCGTCGGCGAGTTTGCGGAATTGGTGCGCCGCGACTTGGAGTTGGGTGTTTGAGGTTCGTGGACTGGGGAAGAGAGAGGCGGCGTTGTAATTGGAGTAGTGGGGTCTGTGGGGGCTGTCGTAGTAGTGCCTGTGGGAGGCATCATGGGTGTAGTATGGTTCGGCGGTGTTGTATGTGTCGTACGTCTTTGTATAGATAGGGATATTGTGATACGCGCAGAGGGTACCACGTCCTTGGAAGCGGTCGCCACATTTGGTACAGAACGGCATGTTGGGTTTGAGGGCGAGTGAGGGAGGTGGATGAGTGGCTCTGGGTTGTATTAGAGTGAGGCTGTTGGGTAGCAAGGTCACCGTTGCTGCATGGGTATCCTTACTGCGATGCTAGTATGACTCTCCAGCTTTGTATAATCGATCCAATACGTTTTTCCCGCTCTTCTTCTAGATGGACAGTAGGGATAATATACTAAATAGGACACCGAAACAACGAAACTTGGAATAATCACACGAAACCGATGGGGCTGAGAAGCTGAAAAGGATGATGAAGACAGTATTTTGAAAAATCGTTTATGCGGTCGACAGATAAGGTAGTGTTGTATGCACGAATATGCAGGGTTAATCGTTCACCGGTCCAAGCCACTTTGCCCTCTCTGGAAGTTGCAGGCAACACCTGCGATCGTGATGATGGAGAGGCGGCCCTAAAATGGAAATATATTAGTAGGACTGGCGTTGACTAGATGATGTGACGTTGGATAGGTTCTAGAAGTACGCAGGCGCGGAAAAGGTGGTACATCAAAAAAGGAAACACCTTCAGCTACCTCCATATGGTAACAGCAGGGCGTGATTTTAGGACAAGAAGAGTTACGGTGTCCATTTTACGTTTATAGCCAGGAGAGATCTTGGATCTATTGACAGATATAGGCTTGAGCTTAAGGGAAGGTCCTTCGTGGTGTTTGTGATGTGACAGTTTCTCTCTGCCCCGCGTGAGAAATAAATGAGAGCTGGTGCTCTCATATGAAGTGATTGGCTGGGCGGGAGGGGTTCAACCTACGTGATCCACAGCCTCGCCCAATTTTGGATCATGTTACCGCTTATACTTCCGTACAGGTTAGGTCCTTACAGAAAAGGCTCGTATTAGAGAGATGTTACTATCTTATAAACGGCGCCGTGGGAATACTACATACTCACAACTCCGCCTAGACACTACAATCTACATCAATTCCAACACCCTTACTCTAGCCCTATGCTATCCATAATTATGGCCATAGAAAGCTTTATGGAACTAGATCTAGGTGCCTCGAAAGAAAAATATCGGATTTGGCAGGAAGTTTAGGGTAGGGTGGAAGGTGAAGTGTCAGAATGCATCCTTGTGTGTCCGGCTGGAGCCGATAGGAGCTGCAGTGAAGATGTGAACGGTGTTGACCTCGAACAGGATTACGAAAAAAGAAACTTTCATAACAAGCTACTCAAATGTCCTCGATTCAACCCTTTTGTGAGATTACGTCATCTCCGCGAGACCCTCCCTTATTTGCAGATGCAGAGACCTGACCAGGGGTACCAAGCTTACCCTGTCTCTTATCTGCTAAACTTGCAACCAAAGCTGCTATCAAAGCGCATAGAAAGAAAATCCTTCACAAAATAAAGCCGACCACAAGCACAGCAGGTAAAAGCCCAACCAGCCCAAGCCCTGCATAAAGAACAATCAACCGTTGTTTGATATCCTTCAGCAATTCCTGTAGCAAGGACGCAACCATAAAGCACTAACATAAAAACAAGATTGAAACCAGCTGATACAGCAACATTCGTTTAATTTCAATCGTATTCTTTTTGGGCGTCTGTGCTAAAGGTTCCAGATGAAACCATTCATTTTCGATATCGATCATGAAGCGTAATAGATAGCGACAGCGAAAGAGAGAAATATGACGGAAACAGCCATAGAAATCGTAGAGTTTGATGCCGAGTTGGTTGAAGCGGTTTGGATACCGAGAATGCCGGCTGTGAGGGGAAAAAAGAAAGATGGATGTGAGAATGGTTAATCTGTTCATGTTGGATGACTGACATATTTGGGACACCGTAGTCACGAGCGTGAAATCACCGTCATGGTGCTTGTCAAGTCGACGGGCGTACTCGACAAGGTTCGAGCATTGAACTTGTAGTACGCTGATCCGACTTTACCGCCGTTGAATTTAACTGTCGGCACTCCGTCAGGTGAAACAAGGCAACGCCCTACCAGGTGGGATTGGCACCGTTCCATATCTTCGGCCTTTTCTATCATTCTTTTCACCAGATGAAAAGTAATGAACCCTGCGTGTGATGGATACAAAATCATCCTCAGAGAAATAGTTATCCGAAATCCCAGTCAAATCTTCGACTGACCGAATTCCAAGTTGCGGTATGACAGCTTTCTCGAAGATGTTAAGGTCGACGCTCAAAACGTCTACCATAAGGAGAGAGAAAACCTCTCTGGTCGATTTCGCGTTCATCTTTGAAAAGCAGGTCTTGGTCACAACCTGAGTGAAGAACGTCTCTGCATATGTAGGAGAGGTGAGCCGCTCTTTCAACGTCTCTCGAAGGCTGGGTGTAACTTTGTCCATGAGATTTTGCAGAACAATTAGATCGGATATCAGAATACTACATGCTTACAGTTCCGGCGGGACAGAACAAAATACACCTCCAATACCCTCCCTCTAGCTCGAGGCTGCCTGTAATTATGGCAGCAGAAAGCTTTGAAGAGCTAGAACTAGGTATCTTGACAGTAGAACTCCAGGTTTGGCTGGAAGTGTAAGGCAATTTGCATGTGTTCCGCCCGAGCCGCAACGGTCCTATAGAGAATAAGATAACGCACCAGTGTATCTGTCATCGGATTCTCTCGTGAATCGGATATCATGCTGAATGGCGCGTTCAGGCCATCTCTCATCTTTCGTGTACGGGAACTCTTGGAAAGCAAAGTCGCTCCTGGAGTTCCTCCGTCATCAAGCTAACTGAAAAAGTCGCACAAATTACGTGAGACGGACATATTCCAGTTGCGTCGCTTCTCCAAATACCACTTTTCGTCTTTGTCATCGTCAAATAAATCTCTCATTATCTCGCTGGACTGTTTGAGGTAACCAAGAGCCAAAGCCGTCTGCAAGATGTTTGAAGCCACCTTCCGCATTCTCTGCACTTGGCCAAACACATATGCGCACAGACCGAGGCTGGTGTTGGAATGTTTCAAGCCGTGTAAACCAAGAA